GTCTAGAATTTTCAGGTTGACATCTTGTTTCCATATAATCCATAATTTATCCAGACCTTATTTGCTACTTCCTTCTCCCACCCAGAAAACCATTTACTTATGATATTATCTAACTCACTGGCTCTTATTCTTGACTCCAAAAACCTACTATATTTATACTTATTCAATATAGGTTGTACAACTTTATTTTTGTCAGTTTTTAAATCCTCTAGTATTCCAAGAGAGGATCTTCATCTTTTCTTCCATCCTCTCCGCTCTTTCTTAGCAGGGGGGACATAAGGTGTAGGTGGGTTCCTCTTTGCAGTATAACCTCCAACTATGATCCACGAGTTAGTAGTGACTTTGCCAGGGCGAGAAGCCTGAGAGTCTAATTTCCCAGATGGTTAAAGTAAATTAGACTTCTCAGACACTTGCAAAGGGGCTAAAGGACTCCTAGAATTAACTGATGCTTCTCTAACCGCCTCAACAAAACTCATTGCAGGGCTCCTAGTTATTGGAGAAGATGATGAAGGCATGTGTTCTTTAGTAGCCATAACAGAGTTGAGAAACCCTAAATCATTCAAATCAGAAGTACCAACTTCTGTCAACCTCAAATTAGGGATCATCAGCTGGGTAAAGACGAACACGAGCAGGGAAGCCACAATCTGCAGCAACATCAACACAAATTTTAGTAAACCCTAGCTGCACCCCAATCCTAGTGGTCTGGTCCATCCATAGAGGACAAAGTACTAGCTATCCATTCGTGTCGTTCAACGAATGGTAGTCAAGCAGAATACCCTAGATTCTAACCCAAACATGTAGAGTTTCAACTAGTGGAGTAATTGGTTGTATCCCCGTTGACCATTTTCGAAAATAAATTGGGTTATCTTGACAATGCTAGGGACCTGATTTGAAGATCCACTTGCTTGTGGCCGCTGATGGGGAAATGGAAAACCAGCAATCTCAGGCTGAACTTCGAGACTTGCACCACGCCTTCTCTTCCCCATAGACTTGTAGCTCATTGCTGAAGAGCTACAGTCTTAGGAAGAGGACCGACGAATTGTGAGATGAGACAGTCCATCCATAGCTCTCTCCCCTCTTCTTGACCTCACGGGGAAGCGGAAATCCATCTTCCTTTCGTTGGGGAGGTCGATATGTCATCCGATTGGCCGCGAACAGTGATTCCCAACTTATTGGCACTGCAGCCGGAGTTGCACTCAGAAACATTGCCGCCATCACGAAAATAAATTTACTCATTTTTTCAGTCTATTTGCACCCCTTAATTTTTCATTAAACAATTTCATTTTCTTCTTACACTCCTTTAATTTACAGCCCTACAATTTCCAAATCAACTTACAACATCGAATTTGCACCTTAATTGCCAAAGTAGAAGCACATGAAGCTGAAAGCAAAGGGCCGGGACGAATAATAATCAAAACACTATTGATTGAATCGAATCGCAAAGTCAAACACAATATATACACAATATATATAGCGGATGAGAACAAAATAGTATATCTGGGTGGAAATCGATACGATATTGGTATGCCAATACCAAATATCGAAATCCCGAATACTAAATTACACCTAATCTCAATCCCTAAATAATTTTGATATCCCAATCCCTAAATATTTTGATATCCCAATCGGTACTTTGGTATCCCAATTGGTACTTCGGTATCCCAATCGCCAATCGGTATTATCGAATGCGAAATTAATTACCTTCACAATTAATAATTAAATATATAAATTAGATTTGATTGTTTAATTTAGTGCTAAAAGACTAATCGAATAGTCTTGAGTTTGCCAAGAGCTAGGATATGAATATGGAGAATGTAGGAGATGTGACATCTCAAATTCTTATCATTGATAATCTTTAATTTGACGAATTGGAGGCTGAGAGACGACTAATACTAGTGTTTGTCTTTTGGTGTTATGAAAATAACAAAAGATTAGGCGAGAGACGAGAGTGACTTAAACTAGAAAGTCCAAATTGAGTTGGATATAGACTTCTAAATTGTGGAAGAGTGAGGAATGACCAAAGGTTGCATGCTATATTTTATTAAATTTTTTATTTTCGGTATTTCTCGATATTTCGGTATATACTGACCTCAATTCCATAATCCCGAATACCGAATAACACCAAAATGAATCCCAATCCCAAAAAATAAGCCGGTATTTGATAATACCAAATAGTAATAAATTCAATACGATATTCGGTACATCTCAAATACTAGTACAAACTTCCGGCCCTAATTCTACCAACAGCTCGTTGACTGTGCTAATACATATATATATATATATATATATAATAATATTATAGAATAATAACGAGATGGAGGTGAAAGAATTTTACAGGTGGGTTAAATCATTAAAACGATCAAGTGGCATTCTCATAGGATATAGCAGACTATATCTTCATGATTGCTCTCTGCTGTTGTCACTACTGTTCTGTCCTACATATTAATTAATTTACTAATTGTAATTCAATTTAATTAATTATAGTTTATGTCTTTTGATAATAAATATTTATTTATAGTTTATTTCTCTATTAATTTCAATAGAGTAATACAATAGTCAAATGTCTCCAAAGGTCTGTGGCATGTGCTAACCACCTCCAACTCTATCTTCTCATGTAATAAATAATATCCATTTAATTAATCATCGTGGACAATATGCTGCTGCCACTCAATTGTTGTTGCATTGAAAGTCCAAAATGAGACGCAACACAAACACAATTGTTATTATGTAGAACACTTTGGTGAATTTTTGTGCCTGCTTCTCCCTTTAATTTGTTGATAATGGAACTGCTGATTTGCAGCAGGCGATAGCAGCTTGGACAACAGCAGCTCGATGGTGGGCAGCAGCTTGCAGAAGCAGGGTGGGCAGCAGAACAGCAGCAGCTTGCCTCCCCAGTTCGAATTGTCGAATGGAGCTTTTTATTTTAAGCAGAACAGTAGCAACCAACAGCTCTTTTTAGTTGTTATTGGTGCTTGGAATGTTTATTTTTATGCGTTGTGATTGTTCATGAATGTGTAGTTTGCAAACCGAGTATTTGTGATTGGGAATTTGGGATGGATTTTGTGATTGTTAACCAAGTATAAATTAAGTTTAAACTTTTGTTAAATTTTTTTTGATTCAAACTTTGGGTATTTATGGGTAATATGGGTACCCGTTATCCGTCCCATACAGATAATGGGTACCCGTTTATCCAAACGGGTTGAGACATGGGATGGACTTTGATCTCCAAACGGGATTGTGTACCCATTTCAAATGGGACGGGTATCCCGTCCCGTCCCGTTGCCCACCCCTAACTAATAGTATGTAAAGGAATCCGCTGTGTTTCGTAGGGACAGTTTAGTCTTTTGCTCTGATGTTTCCCTACGTAATTAACCCTAGGCACTTGTTGAGTCGTGAATAACTCCACGGTCATATTGTCATGGACAATCCAATAAGAGATGAGTGGTCTACATTGGGGAAACATCACACCATCCTTTCATTTGCATACTCACCAATATGAAATCGAACCTTGGCCTTCTTATTAACCTTGATGGCTCCATAGTCGTTCAACTAGTGAAGGTTGTAAGCTTGTGGATGCTTAATGGAACTCAATCTCAGCTTCTTGACTGCATCAAGACTCACAACATTGGTGCAGCTACCGGATCGATTACCCCAGACAATAACTTTCCATCCATTAGACAACGGGTATGAAACAGATTATCTCGTTGTTCTTGGTCAGGAAGAGCTTCAAGGGGGAGCACTCTACGATTGACTCCAAGAAACTTACCTGTTGGAGAGGCTTCAGTAGTAATGTGCTCATCAACAACAACAACAACATCATCATCATCAGAATAGATTCCCATCCTCATTGGCTTATCTTCCTCCTCCTCCTCAGAGGAGAGAGGTGGAGGATAGAATCAGCTACATTTAACGCAGAATGTGTTATTTTGAAATAACTTAGACACCCCCCCACCCCCCGGTTATTTACAAATAACTCATGCCTAAATAACTCATACCCAAATTTGGGTCCAAATAACTCATCACAATAACTCATCCAAACGACTCCTTATTGAACCATGCAACCTTTTGCTATGTGTGGACGAAATGGACATAGGGCACTGTGCATATTGCAATTATTAGTCTTATTATTATTGGGGCTTAATTGCAAGTTTGGTCACTCGAATTGCTATAAAATTTCACGTTTGCCACTCAAATTAATATATTCCATTTATAGTCACTCGAATTAGTTGAACAGTTCAAGTTTGATCACTCTCCGTTAACCTCCGTTAACTGTGACTGACGTGGCGGTCAACTCTGACAGTTGACCGTTAAATGTGTGACGTGGCAAATAAAAAATAATTAAAAAATAAAAACTAAATTTTTAGAAATTACACATCATTATCACAAAAAATTATAATTATAAAAAATGAAAAAAGAAATTATCACAAAATCCCCAATTTCCAGCTCCGATCCTATGCCCGAGAAACGAAAACGCACATTGATCTCTCTCTCCCACCGACGAAATCAATGGCGATTCTCCGGTCTCTCACTCTCGATTCGGTGGAAAACTCTTCCACCGACGGAATCGGCGGCGATTCTCCGATCTCTCTCTCTCTCTCGATCCGGCGAAAAACGATGTAAATTCTCTGATTCTACTGCTCGATGATAAGGTTCTCTCTCTTTCTCTTTCTCACTCTCTTGCAAGCTTTCGGTCTTTCTCTCTCTCATGCGCGCGTGAGCTCTCTCTCTAGCGGCCGTTGGAGCAAGTTGCGGCCAAGCTGGAGAAGGCAGAACTCATAGTGCAATGGCAGGAGCTGGGAAGAGTACATGTACTGGACCCATTTCCAGTTCACCCATTTCTGCCGCTTCCTCCATTCCGACTTCCACCACAGCCTCGTAAGCTCAAAGATTCCTTCTTTCAACCTTCTCCTCTGTTAATTTTCCCGCCGTGTGAGGGAGTAATGATTGATCGATCGATATCACGTAACTGACAGGCAATCCCGACGAAATTTTCAACCCACATGAGCTCCAGACTGCCGGGAACTGTGGCGCTCAGGGGTCCGAGCGGAATCGTCTGGACGGTGGGCGTGGCGATGAGCGACGACGGGACTCTATTCTTCAGTGGGGTGTGGAAGGAGTTCGCTCAGGACCACGGTTTACAAGCGGGCGATCTCTTGATCTTCAGGTTCAATGGGCACTCTCAGTTCGACGTGCTGGTTCTGGAATCGGAGAGCTCGTGCGAGAAGGCGTGCTCGTATTTCGTTTCGATGAAACAGGGGCCTCCAATGGAGGAGAAGAGAGCTTGGGGGAGTATAGCTGCGGCGACTTCCGGCGACTGCTCCGGAGGATTCATCCCGTCGCCGGAGCAGCACGATGGTAACGTTGGTGGCGTTGATGATGGTACAGGGGGGTCTCTTCCGCCGATTGAGTTTGACGTTGATACTTTGCCTCCACATCCGCCACCGCCTCCCCCGCCGCCGCCGCTGCCCACTTGCCCGCCGTTCATAACCGAGTTGTCGTATGTGATAATTTCTTTTTTTCATTTTTTATAATTATAATTTTTTGTGATAATGATGTGCAATTTCTAAAAATGTAATTTTTATTTTTTAATTATTTTTTATTTGCCACGTCACACATTTAACGGTCAACTGTCAGAGTTGACCGCCACGTCAGTCACAGTTAACGGAGATTAACGGAGAGTGACCGAACTTGAACTGTTCAACTAATTCGAGTGACTATAAATGGAATAAATTAATTTGAGTGGCAAACGTGAAATTTTATAGCAATTCGAGTGACCAAACTTGCAATTAAGCCTTATTATTGGATTAATTGCATGGTTGGTCTTTGAGATAAAAAGTTCATGTTTGGTCAGCCAAAATATTTAAATTCATTGGTGGTCTTTTAGTTTAGTGAAACCGTTCACGTTGGGTCACTCTCCGTTAGTCGTCATCCATCTCCGTTAATGAAAATTGTTACGTGCTGACGTGGCAAACAAAATCATCTAATTATCCTAATTTAACCCGAAAATAGTGAAACCCGACCCGTCATGTCACTTAGACCCACCACGTCATCTTGCCGAACCCAACCTTTTAACCAAACCTGACCCATGGATCAACCCACTTAAATTAAATTACAAAATTGTAAAATATACCCATTTTCCCTATTTCAGCTGACAAGGAGGAACCCTAAATCAAAGGGAGGAAATGGATTCCTCGTCGAACCCAAATCTCCGTTTCTCCAGACCACGCATCCTCCGCCTTCTAGTCCCTGAACAAGAAGCAGACCAAGAAGTTGCGGGCCAGATCTCTGTCCACTAGGAGGCATCCGACAACACTTGGCGGTGAGGGGAGTTTCAGGAGGCTAGAGCGCGGGATCGGCGATGAGAATGCTGCTGAGTTCGTGTTCCAGCAGCGCGAGTGGTCGTAGCGTCGGAACCAGAGGTGGGTGCATCTTCTTCTAGTGATTTGATAGGATCTGAGAACGTTTGGATCCGAGTTCAATTTTTTTTGTGCCATGTCTCGTCGTGCCTTGCCGACGAGGAGAACAATGAGAAGGAAGAGAGAACGGCAGTGGCAATGTCGTGGAAAATTGAATCTACGGTCAGGGGCTCCTGTGGGACGGTGTTTGCGTGATGGCTTGTAGCTGTGCCGGAGAGAGATGTGAAAAAGGAGGGAGATTGAGTTGGTGGCCAAAGAACACGAGGAGGAGGAATAAGAAGTGCACAGTATCCCATAGATGCAGTAGATGAGCTATAGAAGGTACCATGGATTTAGGAAGATCGATTTCGATATGAAGCTGGAAGCGTTTGAAGGAGAAGGAGGCATAGAAGAACCGAGGATGGGCATTCCACCTAAGAACGCTATGTTGCTTATGAGGTGTAGATCTGACCCTGTGAAAGTGGTTGTTCTCACCAACAAGTTCTGGAACCCTCCCAATCTCCGGCGAGATGAGAGATATAGTAGATTTGGAGAGGTGAGGTGGCTCAATAAGTTAGGGTCTGCTCATGGTTTGGGTTCAAGGGATGGGTTGAGCAAGATGACGTGGCGGGTCGGGTTTGGTAATGTGGCGGGTTAAATAGGGTGAGCAAACACTTTTGTTGGCCACGTCAGCAAATGATTGACGGTGTTGACGGAGACTAACAAAGAGTGACCAAATATGGACTGTTTGACTAATTCAAGTGACCATAAATGGAATTAAATATTTGTAGTGACCAAATTGTAATCTCAGTGATCAAACTTGCAATTTACCATATTATTATTTATTTGGTTGGTTGGATATGAAAGCATTATATGGTTTGTGCCTGTGAAATAGTGTGTCAAGGGATGATTGTTTATATGTAAGTAGGGGTGTTGAAATGGTTACCATAATAATGACCAAACCAAATAAGTGTAAATTCTATTAACCATGACTACAGGAAAAAGATCATGTATTCACGGGAAATCCCGTGTTTGAATGTGCGTTTCCTGTGTTTAATAGTTTTAGATACGGGAAAGTTACCGTAATATATACCTCCGTGTCTAATTGTAAAGGTCATGGGAAACTTGTATCGTGACTAGTTATAACTAATCACGGTTTAATTTCCCGTGAGCATTTGTACTTATTAATCACGGGGAGCCATGTGACTAATACCAAATTTTGCCACAAAAAACTCGTTTAGATATGGGATATACACCTTTCAGCACTGTATTTACCGTGACAAAATCATTTCCCGTGACTAGATACCAATCATTAGTCACGGTGTTTGGTTGGTTCTCCTGTGTCTAGATATTAACAATTTGTCTCCGTCTACGACTAATTATCAATCACTAGCCACTATATTTTGCCACAGTACATAAAATTTCATATATTAATATACAACTGAAAGACCTAATCTTATAGCATGAAATGCATTCAAATATCATTGATCATTGTTAATTAACCTATAATTTAAAATAGTAACTATTGTAGCATGAAACTCCAACATAATGAACATCAATTACAACTCCGGTCAGTCTGACCAAACCATCTAAAGGCATCCGAATATTGAGTCTGTTCTTCTACAAGATATATTCTTTAATAGCTGCAATATCCATAAACTCTTTAATCTTCAAGTCTCTTCTCCGTCCTTTGCTTCATTCATAGACTCATCATCTTACCTCTCCTTTCACACCTAGATAGATCATAAGCAATAAATTATATTGCAACAGGTCATAAACGATCACAAGATTAAAGTAGTGAAGAGAAACAACAATCTGGACAGTTTAGAAAATAACATAATCACAGTTTCATCAGAGACATCATCACACAATAGAATCTAGATTAGTATACTTAGAAGTCCTTGCAAACTGTACTAAAAAGAGCAAAAGAGGGTTTGACAGGCAAATACCAATTTAATAGCAAGTTAGTTTCGAGGTAGATCTCAATAGCATGCAGACCTGACCACGTGTTTACTTTAAAGCAGAACTCTGTGAAAGAGAAGGGAAACAAATAGTTTTTCAGTCATCAAGCTAGAGCAATTTCCATATGCATCAGCTAGAGATGTTAAATCTGTCTTTACCTAGAAACAAACATTCTCAAGCTGTATGCATGCAAATGTTAAATGGCTATACATAAATGGTCTCTGGGATTCACAAACTCAAACAAAATAGAGACACTATCACCCTCCCAAGAGGTTTTTATTTTGATTACTTAGCTTAGGTGATAAGTCAGTAGTGGATTAGAGAGTTAGCTAATATATAATGATAATCATATTTGTGTATGGTTCTTAGCTGGATAAGGAAATCCGATCCATTATTAAATTTGTGCTCCCAATCGCACTGAGTCATTCCAAAAACATTGAACAAAGAAACTCCCTGATTCTTCTAAAATCCTCATGAACTGTTTTTAGTGTTAAGAGCTACCTTAAAGAAGTATGCTCGCACTGGAACAGCTGCATAGTCATAGAGATAGCTTATATTAGTTTGAGATAGAGTACTCAAGATTTCCTACACATTATTAACCAACCACATTCAATTTCTAACAAAGCCTTAGATGCTTCAGCACAAGATGAAGTAAATAAAAAGAACCCAACTTGAAACTAGTACAATTGCATCTTTTGTTGAACATTAGACAGAGAGCAAGAATGAGAATGAGTACCTTGAGAAATGCACAAGCTATGTTGAGTGAAGAACCCAAAGCTTAAGTTTTACATTATTCAATGAATGGCTTTATAGTTCTCAGCAGCAACAGAGTGCTGCGATATACAAGGAACAGAAAGTGAGTGAAGTAAGGAACTGCCCAACAGTGGGCAACGGTCCATTACTCAACAACTATCACTACTAACAACTACAGAGAAACTTCAGGAGCAAGATCCTCTTCACGCCCCCGCAAGTGTAGGCTCGGTGAGACGAAACTTGGAGCAGAATTTGTTGAAGGATTGGCGCGGTAATGGCTTGGTTAGCACATCAGCAATCTGATCTGGAGCTGGTAAGTAGTGCACGCGCAGCTGCCCTTTGCCAACATGATCACGAATGAAATGGAACTCAATTTCCATGTGTTTAGACCGATTGTGAAACACCGGATTGTGAGCTAAAAATGTTGCACCAAGATTGTCACACCATAGAGTAGGAGCTGTGGGGAGGGATTGACCAAGTTCATGAAGCAAAGACCGTAACCAGATCACCTCAGAAGCAAGTGTGGCGAGGGCTTTATATTCACATTCGGTGGAGGATCGAGCAACGGATTTCTGTTTCCGAGTTGACCAGGACACCAGATTGGTGCCGCAGAACACAGCGAACCCAGTGATAGACTTTCGATCCTGGGGGCAGGAGGCCCATGAGGCATCTGAATAACCATGGACATGGAGAGATGGAGATTTGGAGAAAACAAGACCACGATCAATAGTACCTCGAAGGTAGCGAAGAATGCGCTTCACTGCGGCCCAATGATTATCCGTTGGAGAGTGTTGAAACTGAGAGACGTGGTTGACCGCAAAGGAAATATCCGGTCTGGTGAAGCTTAGGTATTGCAGTCCACCGACAATGCTGCGATACAGAACCGGATCGGCAAATAGTGAAGAAGAATCCATGGCTGACTGCTGGATGATATCAATAGTGCAAGGAGTGGAAATGGCATTGGCATTAGACATGTGTGCTCGTTCAAGAAGATCACTGACAAACTTCCGCTGTCTGAGGACGAGTCCAGTGGAGGAGCGGCTGACTTCGAGGCCTAGAAAATATGACAATGGCCCCAATTCCCGCAGAGCAAAATTATCCCGGAGAAATGCGAACAGCCGCTGAATGAGGGAGGGATCATTACCCGTGATGACGATATCGTCCACATAAACAAGCATATACAGTCGAGTGACACCATTCTTGTAGATGAAGAGGGACGGGTCCGTTCTGGAGACAGCGAAGCCGAACCGAGAGAGGGCAGCAGCTAGGCAATGAAACCACGTTCTGGGAGCTTGGCGGAGACCGTAGATGGACTTCCGAAGGCGGCAAACATGGTCAGGTTTATCGGGATCAACAAACCCGGGGGGCTGCTGCATATACACTGTCTCCTGCAACTCACCATGTAAAAATGCATTAGCTATGTCAATCTGGTGAAGAGGCCAATTTTGATTGACTGCAAGTCCAAGAATAAGCCTTAGTGTAGCAGGCTTCAGGACCGGACTATATGTCTGATCAAAATCGAGACCCGGGATTTGTTCGAAGCCTCGAGCCACAAGGCGAGCGCGACGACGATCCAGTTGACCATCAGGATGGAGCTTGGTTCGGTAAACCCACTTGTTGGAGAGGAGATTGCAGTTGGGCGGCCGTGGAACTAAATCCCACGTGTGATTCCGAAGTTGAGCAGTGACCTCATCGGCCATTGCCGAACGCCACTGGGGATGTTTGAGTGCTTGGGCCACAGAGGTTGGGGTATCATCAACATGGAGAGTAGCAAGGAGAGTGCGGGGTTTTAAATGACCGGTTTTGATTCTGGTTACCATGGGGTGTGAAGAGCTGGTGGGATTCGTAATTGGGATAGGGCGAGGGGAAGTTGTGAATCGTGGGCGATTCGGCAGGGGAAGGTGATGGGGAGGCAGTGTGGACGGTAGAAAAGGGAAAATTATTCTCGTCGAACAAGACATGACGACTGATATAAATTCGTCCGGTGGGAATGTGAAGGCAACGGTAACCCTTGTGAAGTTTGCTGTATCCCAGGAAAACACAGGGAACAGAACGAGGGGATAATTTGTTGGCGGCGAGTGGGCGAAGCCAAGGATAGCAAAGGCACCCAAACACACGGAGATTAGCCAGATCGGGAGAACGATGAAAGAGAAATTGAAAGGGTGTGTCATGATTTAGAAGCGGAGTAGGAGTGCGGTTTATGAGATAACACGCGGTGTCAAAGGCTAGCGGCCAGTATTTAAGAGGGACACTAGCATGATGAAGAAGGGCTAGACCATTATTGACAATATGGCGATGTTTGCGTTCAGCACAACCGTTTTGCTCAGGAGTATAAGGACAAGAGGAGCGATGAGCAATTCCATTTTGGGAGAGGTAAGTGGACAAAGCTTGGTATTCACCACCCCAATCAGATTGAAACGACTTGATGGGAAGACCAAAATATTTCTCGACCAATTGACGAAATTGAATGAAAACTGTTAGCAATTGGGACTTATAACGAACAAAATAAATCCACGAGAATTTGCTGTAATGATCATAGAAAAGGATGTAATAAGATTGTTCATCATATGACAAAACAGGGGCAGGACCCCATACATCACTACAAACTAACTCAAGAGGAGCATTGGCACGAAAAGTGGATGAAGGAAAAGGAATTTTGTGAATTTTGCTAACAGCACAACCGTGACACAGAGAAGGAGATGAAGTTGTAAATTTTATTTGATGTTGACAGAGGAGATGTTTAACTGCTCGTGCATGAGCGTGACCAAGACGACGATGCCAAGTGTCGAAGGAGGCAGCACAGGCAACAGGAGAGAGACTGCGGGAAATAGTGAGAGGTAGGGAATAGAGACCGTTAACCGCATAACCTCGATGAAGTTCACGCCCCGTGCGTCGATCCTTGATGAGAAACAAAGAATCAAAAAATTCAATGGAAAT